GCCTTGGCACCGTCAAATTCTCCGCCATCGATCATGGCCGAGCTGTTTAGACCGTTTAAGCCTCCTGCAAGTCCCCTCAAGTCCCCAAGGTTGGCCTTTGGAGGTACATTTCCGGCTAAGGTATTCGTGTTCCCTGAAAAGCAATTCCATTTTTTATCACACATTCTAGAAAGAAGAGTGCATATTGTAGAATCATCTTCTTCATTTGAATCAAGTACCTGTAATTGAGCCAACAATGATGAGTCTCCTTGATGGGTAGTCGGATTTGTTCAAATCTTCCATAAGCAACCGCGAAAGAAGGAAGTGCCCGAGGTGGTTAGTCCCAACACTGAGTTCGAATCCCTCAGCAGTGAATGAAGGTTCCTTAGCAGTTGGCTGATAAACAGCAGCATTACACACAAGCACATCCAGCGGCCTCTCGGATCGCCTGAAGTTATCGACAAATTGGCGCACACTGTCGAGGGAAGCAAGGTCAAGATGCATAATGGTGTAGTTTTCTTTGGGCATGCCAGCTGCCTTGGCAGCTCTTTCAGTCTTGAGGAAATCCCTGCAGGCCATAATTACATGCCATTTTCCGGATTCGGCCAAAGACTTGGCTGTGGCTAGACCGAGTCCGGAAGAGGCGCCGGTGACAATCACACTGCCCTTTCTTAGAGTTTTCTTTCCCTCTGATGTTCCCCTGTTAATTGCTGGGCTTGCTGTAGCTGTTGTCTGGGCTCTCACTGGCTTGAATTCCCTCTGTAGTCACAGCCATTGTGTTTTTTTTACACACAAATTTGGTAAAATTTCAACATACATGCAATACAACTCCAAATTCAGCAACTACTACAAGATACCACCAAAATGGTCTGTGCGGAAGCGCTTTTGAATGGCTAAAAGCATTTTCAGATAACCAAAAAGTTAAAGCATCTTTTGACAGAAACAATCTAAAAGTGATCATCGGTTTATATCAAAAATTCCGATGCGCTTCCATTAAAAACGTTTATGAGCAGAAGTGCTTTTTGTTTTGTTTTTGCAACAAGAGGAAACGCATTGTGTATTTGCAGAGTAAATACCTTGCAGCTTAATGCAACAGAACTGAACTCAGCCTTGAGATTGTCCGAGAAAGAGACTCCAAACAGACTTGAATCCTTGAAAGAAGCACTCGTCTTTCCCTGAAAAAAAAAAGTACAATTCCAAGAAAATAAATCAAATCAAACCCCATTAGCTTCTTGGTCGATTAAAACGAGAAGAAACGTTTCTTGGAATAAATAGAGGATTAGGCGATATTAGCTCGAAACAAACCTCTTTGGGAACAGAAAATGCAGAAGAAACCACAGAAGCAGCCTGAAGAGCCATTAATTCTCTGTTTTTTTTTTTTTTAAACTGGGTTTTTTTCTGATCTTTTCACAAGTGAGTGAGGAAGAGAGAGTGAGAGGTGGTGGGAGTGGCCAAAGTGGAAGCTTGAGCTCAAGTGCTTTGAAAAAGAAACCACCAGTTTGTATTTATACACGGTCGTTTTGGTGGGCAGATTTGAGGCTCATGAGAGACTAAAATAGCATTATTTTATGGCAGAGAGGATAAGATAATTGGCAGCATGTAAGTCTGCCACATCAAATTTCAAGCGGCCAATGAGGTTGTGAGGACTGGATTTCCTTTTGATATTTGTTTTCTATCTTCTTTTTCAAAAAGTTTTACGCGTACTGGAAACACAAATCGTGTGGAATATTATTTCTAATGTTATAATAAGGGTGCACGATAAAACTAATAGGCATCAATCTTCGATGTATTAACGTTAAAACAAATTCACATGTTATGAAGCTAGTGAAATAGTAACAACACATATCCATGTTACGAATGCACCAAGAAATTACTCCTTTTCCCCCTTGCTTTTTAGAACATAGGATTATAGGATAAGATATTTTTCAGCCAAGTGTACCCATTCTTTTGTGTTATGGGCTGTGCCTGCAGAGAGAAATTAGAAAATTGCTGTTGTAAAAGGACAGGGAGTTGTGGGAGGAGGTTTTTGGATTAGAGCCAGATTTTTGGCAAGTTTTGCTCTGGAATCTGGGTGAATTTTCAATTTCTGGATTTTGTTTTGGATATTATGGCAAGTTGGAGGACTGTAGGCCCACTTTTTGTGGGGACTTTTGGCAGACACAATGTGGGCCTCAAGGTTGGTCGAAGCCTTATCTTGGCAAACCTTAGGATTTGGGCCTATTTTGCATATAGTTCGGGCTGACCCAAGTATAAAAATGGCCCAAGAAGTGGAGCTAGGTAACTTGTTCAGTAATTTTTGTTTTCTTGACGGAAAACTCAAGCAAAGCAATAGCATTACAATGGACATTTTTTCGATTGATTAAAATAAAATTACAATGTGGATTCGCGACAGATCTAAAATGATATATATATCAAAGGTTAGTCTGGAAATAAAGCTAGAAGAATATTGTTAAACCAAACACATGAATGATCATTAAAAATGTGTTTGTTGCACCGAATTCTCTTGAACTGGATATCAAAGACTAATCTGAATTAATAAAGCAGCCCTTGGAGTCTTGGAGTTTGGTAATGATCTCGTGCATAAAGATTATGGAATTAATTTTCATCTGCAAACAATGCACCATCAACATCAACACGATTGATTGATTTTGGAAATGCATCTCATAAAGATTATGTGGGACTCAATTGGGGTACATGAGCAAATGCATCTCATAAAGATTATGGAAATCTTCATCAGCTTCATGAGGTAAGATTCGATGAAAACATCCCAGATCCTTTTCATAGAGATCCTGAGAATTCCGTGATCGTGACAGTTCATTGTATATCGTGCGATCAGGTTTCTTTAGGTACTATTTATATTTAATTTTAAATTTTGAAATGTTTTCTGACCGCACGATATGCGATGAACGGTTACGATCACGGGATCCTCAAGATCCTCAGGAAAATGATCCCCGAAAACATAGGATGTTGAACATTCTTACGGATTTGGATCCTCTCCTGAGCCCAAGGAGAGGATCCTCCTGACCAAGAAGTGTGGGCCGTTGGATGAAAATCTAACGGCTATAATTAATATAACTTAAAGGAACCCTTCTGTTTGTAGTCGTTGGATAAAAATCCAACAACCCACACTGATTGGTCAAAAGGATCCTCTCCTTGGGCTCAGGAGAAGATCCAAATCCCATTCTTACTTGCATTTTAGATTTTTTTTTATTTTTTATTTTTTTATAAATACTTTTAGTCTAGTTGAACAATAAAGATAAAGAAAAAAGGAAAGTGTTATTGGCACTTCAAAAATCTCATTCTACACTTCTCATACGTGTGTTTTTCTTTCAAAATATAGAAAATTTGAAGTATAGAATGAGATTTTTGGGATGCCAATAATAATTCTCAAAAAAAATACTTTTAATTGATTATGGGAAGGGAATGGTTTTAATCGGAGAAAAATGTCTCATGTACATCTTTATAACCGTGAAAATCATCCATACGTATAATTAATCATCGGTTATTCCTCGTAACCATCTCACTGCAACAAATTTTCAATCGATTAACTGGTTTATCTATTTCAGCAATAAAAAAATTTGTGTTCTGAAAAAACCTTTTGATCACATGATGTCAAGCAACATCTAAACAAATGTGGTTAGAAAGAAAAAAAAATAATAATTAAACCTATCAAATCAAGTAACCATGAAACATCCACATCCAAAATTAATACTTCGGTCAGAAAAAAATTATGACTGACATATATTTCCTCCGAAGTTGGAGCGGTCGAGCTCCCAACGTCATCCATGTCTTTCGTTTGGACGGTGCATCGTTGATGATTCGGGAAACCGGCGACAACGGCGGCACGATTCCAGAGACCACCGTGGCGATGGATGAGAACATGGAATAGTTGATTATCGGAGGAGTCGCAACGGCCACAGAGAGGCAGGAGTAAAAGGAAATAGCCAGAGAGGAGTAGGAGAACGCGGTTCATGCCAAAGGTGCGGGTGATGTGATTTCCTTCGAGGATCCGAATAATGGATATGCCAAATTAGACGACGAGGAGAAAAACAGCCCCATCACAAGCACCACCATCGCAAGTGCTATGACGATGAATGATGCGGAAACTTACCGCCCTATCAATGGGAGATCCATGTCCTACTTAGCTTACAAAAATAAAGGGTCTGGGCAATTATTTTTTTTTTGCTTAAATGTCAAAATAGTCCCGCGTTTTGGCGCGTTGATCAATTTAATCTTTAAATTGTCAATTTGGCGCGTTGGTCAATTTAACTTTAAATTGTCAATTTAGCAATTTAATCATCGTGTTTTTATTCGTTAGCCAATCAAGGATCCAATTACGGTTAAATAAGTAAAAAACTATTATAAAATTATTTATAAAATCATCTATTCAATTTAAAATATTCAATAATAAAATAAAAATATTCATTAACAAAACATATAAAGTTGTCTGTCTCTTCTTATTTACCCTTATTTTTCTAGAACATTAGAAATTTGTACTTTGGTGAAATGTTTCCGTTATCTTCACCAACTAGTCTAGTCAACATATAATATAACGAACCACGAACTGATGATTCAATGGTAAATGACGGATTGCGAGGCTTCTTTCAAACTAAAACTAGAGGTCTTGGGTCCGAAACCCGCTTTTGGTGTAGAAGTCAAACTTGTGGCCAGAGGAAAACTAAAATACCTCTGTGAGTCTTCCAGCCCCCGAAAGAGGTGGATAACCATAACTTAGCATCAGTTGTCTCCTTTTAAAAAAAAAAAAAATTAAGAAAAAATACATACATACATACATATATATAATATAACGGTCCATCACTTGGTTTGAAGAATTCAAATTAGGAGATATTCGAGATTAGAGTTCAAGACAAAATCCATCTCCGATACCCTATAACAAACCATCTTTACAGAGATTAAAAGGTTTTTGTTTACTTGGAAGCTAAGAATGTTACTTGTCTAAATGGCCTACACACCTACAACTACCAATATTAGGCAGAAAAAGAAATCAAGACCTGTGCACATAAATTGTAAAAGAATTTTCATTTCTAAATTCAATAAGCTTTTCCCATCTCATAACTCTACAATTTTCCGACTACAGACATTCATCAGTGTAGTTTTTTTTTTTTTTTTTTTTTTGCCTCCTCTTTTTTCAACAAATCTACTTTTCTTTCTTGTTGGCCCGACGGACCGGCTCTCCAACTGAACTCCACGTCCGACGGCACAAGCACAAGGAAACACATGGAACGCTTTAATATTACAAATCTCTCTCTCTCTCTCTCTCTCTCTGTACACATTTTGCCAATAGGGAAAAATGGACTGGCTCCTTGCAGAATTATCAACTCATCTTCCCCCCATGATCAAGGGTTCCACTTATTTGGCCCCCCCTAAATCCGAACAGGCAACCCAAAATTTTGGAAAGTTCTAATTTCACCTCGAAGCCCAGCAGTTACAATCACAACACCCCAGGCTGACATGTTTTGGCTTAAACCATTCGTAAAATCAAAACTTACACGTGGGCTTCGGTTCCTAGTAGCTAGAAGAAGTTTTTCCTCCGGCCATGTTGCTGAAATTCTATCAAAGAAGTAATTGTTGGATGCACTCGAAATGGTTCCGTGGAGAGGGCTATTGGTGGAACCAGATGCTGCTCTTGAACCCTCGTTGGCATTAGCCGCCTCAACTGGTGTAGGCGGGTGATTTGCTGTGGAGACCTCGTCAAGCCCATTACGTTCTGAATCTTGTAATCCCCATAAATCAGCCATTCCAGGCCAAGGGATGGCTGCTGATACATCTTGACAATGGAAATGCTCATATGAGCGCGTGACAGTGACACTTTTGCTTCTGCTAGGACGGGAATCAGCTTCATGTTTCCATATATATACATGAGAATCCTCACTAGCAGATACCACATATTTACCATTTGCCGTGAGGGTGGCTGAGATTTGGCTATTTGCGTTCCGAAATCCTATCAAAAAAACAGACCAATTCACCTATGGAAAGGGGAACATTCTAATGCATGTGCTAACATTCGAAATGACATGTTCACAGATCTAAAAGACAGCATTATCATTAAATTATTGCCCAGAAAACACATCTTTGTGCTAATCTAAACTTGGGTACCAAATTTATGTTCTAGAAAAATGAAATATCAATGGTCTAAGAGCTTATGTTTTGCAATCTTATGATAATATCAAACGTGCCGGAATGAATTAAGCTAGAATGAAACTATTATAAGCTTGACAGCTAACAATTTCACAAATGTTCAAACATATGGTACTACCATCATCTTGATCTACTATGTTGAACTTAGATGGAAAAATTCATGAATTGAATTTGAAATTGTTAAAATAACATATAAAGAAAATCATAGAACATCATGTGCTTACCCTTGAACTTGTGAACCAGATCAACACCGTCAACAACTCTAATTCGTGAATCTGCAGATGTAATCAGTACTTCTGATGAACTTCCTGGTGCAAACTGCCAAGCAAAACTAATCAGCAACAGTATCAAACCAACAATCTTGCAGCTCAAAGTAATCAAAGAATAAAAAATACAAGATGGGAAAACGGCCCGAGTTATAATGGTAAAATGGAAAAGGTTTGTCTCCCAATTTCAAGGCTAAAATCATCTATACAGAAGCAAAGCAAATCAAGGCAATTTATTACCTGAAAACCTGTAATTTTCTTGTGATGTGATTTCTTTTTCTTGTTCTGCAGATTAATTTCACTTTTCTGTTGCAACTTGTTCTCTGAAAAATGTGGAAAAATTTATTAGCTGCATGCACACATATACATGGAGGGAGAGAGGGAGAGAGGGAGAGAGAGAGAGAGAGAGTTGTACCAGATGTATTGTATAAACGGCAGCTGCCTTTGTATGAACCAACTAGGGCGCCCTTCAGATATCAACCAAAAGTTTATTGAGCTACAAACGATACTAATACAATACATAAAGACAAGAATAAAAGCTAGAGCCCAACCTGACCATCAGGAGTGTAGCAAGCAGCAGTGACCATCTCGTGCAGATCATTCCAATCAACCACTTGACGATCAGGGATGCTCCATATGCGAACCTTAGCATCAAGTGATCCACTAATGAAGTACCTATCATCAACAGGGTTGAACTGGATGCAAGTTACTGCATCAATGTTCATGCAAAATAAAGTTATTAGAAACAAATGATAGGCGATGGGGAAAATATCCATATATCACTTGCACATTTATAACATCTTTCAGAAAAGACGTTAAAAGTATCAGATTATAAGAATTCAGATGATGAACTTTAAAAAAAATATATATATTTAAAAATAAAAATTGCTTGGCATGATCTGAACCTAGGATCTAACAAATCCCCCTTCCAATCCCTTACACCAGAGCCAAAAATCATATAGTCAAACTCGACTCATTTAGATCTTACTGTTTTAAGATTCATAAACAAAGTACTTTTCCTTGATATCAAAGGTATGTACTTGATTTTTCAGCACTTTATAAACCGTGAAGTAAGATGTGTGCGAATTAGCCCCTTTTTATACAACAGTTGTTCCAAGTAGAGGCCAACCAAAATTGTAGAGCAAAGTTGAAATACAGACCACATATACTTACCATAGTCACTATGTGAAAATATCTTCAGACAAGTCTTGCTCAACAAGTGCCAAAGGCGCACAGTTTTGTCCATTGAAGATGAGAGCAGGTGCTGAAAAAAGGAACAAAAAAGGAACCTTATTTAGAGATTATGCAACAAGAAATAACTGAAAAGGAAAAAAGTCCACATTATTGCCATTTGCCATGTATAAAGCTTATTTTACGATCGCACCACCATTTAAATCAATCTGCCTCTTTCCACACAAACTACTAAGAAAGACTTGATTGCAAAATATAACATAAAGAAATTTACATTAGATAACTAGAAAAAGAGAGGACAATATAAACACAAGAAGTCAATAAGATTTTGAGAGTTTTTTTGGCCTCTAGGAAACTTTCAGGGTAATAGTTAAAAACTTTTAGTGAATCCCAAAATAATCAAAAGATAGAGAACAAAACATATTGGAATACTGACATCTGAATACTATGCTACTTTATCAGAAAACTGATATATGGTCGACAGGCATCATTTTCTGCAAAACAATTTACAATGCACGGTTACAGCCAATTCCCTCTGCCCACCTTTGGATCCACTAGATAACCCTTACCAAAAGGCAGTGAGCAGAAATTGCACTGATTTAATTTCCACACATGCCTCAAAATAATAAAATAATAATAACAGCATCATTCCTCCCCTCTTTCACATTTCACAAACCTGTCATGCTCAGAAAATGACCAACTGGAATCCACTCCAAGGAAAAGGCACTTATAAGCCTTAAAATTATAAACTTGTCAGTGCACTAAAAAAAACCCTCATCCCCCCACCTGAATCGACCAAAAATAAATAAATAAATAAAACCCAAAAGCCTTGATTTCCTTGAGAAGATTCTATCTCTTATTTTATTGTCAATCAAGTTCTTGATTTACGGTAATCTCGCTTGAGCCAGAAGAAGCTGATGACATGAGGAATTTGAAACATCTTTCCTCATTATCAACCATTTTAGCTCCCTTCCACTTTGAATTTTAATTTGGCTTATTTCAGACTTCCCTAGCCTTGAGTGCCTTCTTTAACAAAACCTTTAACTTGCAGAATCTCAACGATCAATGCCAATTGGCATATCTAAGACTAACTTACAGAAATTGCTATCATAGATAAGCATTACACACTCTTCTATGTGACCGTCTATTTCCAAAACAGAACCTAGCCTTCACTACTATGATGTCCATCATTCCATTGAAATATAATCAGGACTATTCCAAAATTGTTTTTCTTATCCGCTTAAGAAATTTTAAACTTTCCATAGTAAAACTATAACTTTCTGCTAAAATATGCAGTTCTAAAAGGTCAAGAAAACAACAGTGTAAGTTCAGATACAGATAGAAAGAGAAAGGAGGTGACAAATTCTTATACTATGGGAGCAGCCAGGGATAATAGATTTCTTCATTGACACAGCAGTTGAGTGGTATAGTCAAACGTTTCATTCATTTATCAGATATCTACTTGAGTAAACCAAGATACAATAGCGCACTCATCCTGCAAGCCTATACTTAGACAAACAGCATATGGACTAGAGTATGGTTAAACCTAGCACACGAAACTTCCAGAACCAGATCAGCAATCATTACCGAAGTTTCTACTGCGACTTTTAATCAGAGCCCCATTGACTTATCCAATTTTGTCAAAAGTATCCGTGATTTATTTTCTTTCTCTTCCTTGAAACTTAACAAAGCAGCTTGACCATATCCAAGGTGCATAGACTGAAGAACCTAACAGGTACAGTTAAGAAACAAAGCCTTACATTTTTCGAAGTTCCTCTCAATTAAATTTCAACTTATAACTAATAAAGAAAATTGTCCAGAGTATTTGAATTTCATCACTACAAAACGTGCACAGTCTGTTAGCCTATCCTCTTGGACCTTTCATATGACTTGATTCATATATCCCTCTCCATGTGAATGTAATGAAACCAAAACAAAAAAGAAACATAACACTAGGCAAAAAAAGTGGTAGGTAAGTGTCAGTAAAATCACTTGGCAGACAAATACCAAATAGTGTCCTCGGATCACATGACAATAAAACAACATCCGTTCAAATTCACCCAACATTTTGGTATCAAGAAACAACAGATACGCAAATAATGTAACCTGCGGAGATTAGAAGTTGACAAAAAATAAATCCAAAAAGAATACCAGAACAGTAACTAACCTGCGACTTGGACCAAGAAAGGTCAAGCACATCATCCAGATGCCCTTGGAATGAAGAAAAGGGTTTCTCTGAAAGTGCAAACACAGTCTCTGGAATCACATAATGGTCCAAACTAACAGATTTTCGACTGATAGACGACCTTCCTCTCCTCTTTTTTTCCACATGGTTGTCCACATTTGGTGAGACTGAACATGGTTCCGGCGACCCATTGGCAAATAACAGCATGTTTAAATTGCTATCTTCTGACTTCTCCATCAACAGGTCACCCTTCCTCTCACTCTGCATCACCTGCCAAATATGAATCACGCAATCCTCACCGGCACTAGCCAAATATTTTCCATCCAAACTAAATTTAATGCTCCAAATTGACCCAGTATGCGCCTGAATCTCCTGACTCTTGAACAATGCAGTGACCTCCTTACATGACTTCCCATACTGCCTCACCCTCACCCTCTTCGGCCCATGAAACGACACATCCTGGCTATCATCTGTGCCAGAGCTTGACCTCCGACCTCCCTTTTCCGACAATGTGTCCCTGTCATCGCTACTCCGCCTATCCTTGTGACCTGTCATGGTGATCGCAACACTCTTGATGCTCTTCAACCAACCCCCTTTCTTCTTCAACTTTGAAACCCCGTCATTGCTCCCATTGGCATTGGACTCGGAACCATCTTTATGACCCTCCTCCACATTCTGCCTCCTCATCAGTTCTTGAACAATCGGTGAATGCCCGACGCTCATCTCAAACTCCTCCATGGTCAACTGCTTCCCTGTACCCACTTCCTTAAGCTTGTTCCACATTCCATCTTCCCTAATCTCATTCACAACAAACTCTTTACCATTATCAAGGTTCCTAATAGTACACACTTGGGCATTAGTATTAGCATCACTTTCACCAACCTTACCAATGTCATTGCAATCCAACTCCTCCACCTTCGAATCGCTTCGAATCTCGTCTACCCTCCTCGAATTCTTGCCGGAAGGCGGCTTATTCGGCGGCGGGGATGAGTTGCTTTTACCGCTTGAAGATTTACAAGCCAAAGATTTTGTATTTCTATTTACAAATGAACTGGTTTCGGGTTCAGGCTCGGTCTCGGCCTCACCGGCACCACAACGAATCGAAAGAATTGGGGAAGAAGAAACAGATGAAGTAGAACAAGCGTTATTACACTGATCGCCGCCGTCAGATTTGGAGCGGACGATGCTATTAACGCCTCCACCGCCGGAATTTACCTGAGTGATCGAATAATCCGACGAGACAGACCGCCCGAACTCGCCGGAAAAACCCTGTTGGGGTTTGGCCCGGGTCAGAACTGGGTCGCCGGTGAGACCCATTTCAGTGAGGAGTTTGGACCGGCGTTCAGAGACGGAAGAAGGCTCGGAGATCCAAACGTCGTACTTGGTGGAGGCGCCCATTGGGAATTTGGGTACGGCATACTTCGGATTCGGGTCGGGGTCGGGGTCGGAGTCGGAGTTCGAAGTGGAACAAGAACAAGAGGAGGAGACAATGCGATCGAGGGACTCGTAGAAGCACTCGTTGTCTTCGTCTTCTTCCTGTCCGGCTCTGCTCATCGTTTACTGGGCATTCCCATTGGGTAATGAAAATGCCCGAGAAATTTCACCAGCGCGGATCGGATCCGACGCGGGTGCGGCAGAAACGGCGGCGTTTTGTAGTGTGCTCGGTTCGAATCGGCCGATTCGTTTGTTGGGTTCGGAGAGAGCGGGGTGGGAATTTGATGGGATCGCAGAAGAGACGGCTGTGGAAGTGTGCGTCTTTCGGGTTGTAAATCAGATCGGGTTACGGGAGAGAGAGAGAGAGAGAGAGAGAGAGAGAGAGAGAGAGAGAGAAGAGATGGAGGAGAGAGAGCGTGGAGGAACGAAGCCCTATGCTGCTGGGTTGGTTTGGGTTGGGGCTTGAGCAGTTGTTGATGTTGTTGTGCGTGTATCAGAGTAGAGAGAGAGAGAGGGAGAGAGGGAGGAGGGGGGAGAGAGAGAGAGAGAGAGAGAGGGAGAGAGGGATTTTCTTGTTTGTTTGTTTGTTTTTTTTCTAATAAAAAGGAAAATGTGTGAGGAGTGGGAAAGGAAACGTTTGGATTGAGACTCTGGATTTTAATTTTGTACGGGATGGATGGGATTGGAAATAAATTTGGGGGTAATTAGGGGATAATTGTTGGATTCGGTTTGTCTTAACGGGCTTTAGGTAATTTTCTATTTATGTGTTTAACATAAAAACAAATTTTAGTTTTAAAAGTTTCAAATAAGTAAACTCTTCTAATTTTCTTACAACTAAAAAAACTACCCTTGGAAAAAAAAAAAAAAAAAAAAAAAAAACTACCCATTGTTTCCGAAGAAAAAAAAAAACAAATACTCATCATGATTATTAAAAATTTACAAAAAGATAAAAAAAAAATTCTGATCATAATAGCACCTCTATCCAGAGGTATTAGAGTATTGCTTTTGAACACCGATACACCTGTCTATGGTTTATCTCAACTGGAGGCATTGGACATGGCCATGACACTTCTCAATGGTAGAAATTACATGGTGTGACCACTATAGAGTCACATTATTGTTGTTATGCACCATGTTAGAATACATGTCTAATTAAGTAGCATTTACAATACATGAATTAATCATTTCATGGCCATCGCAATCTCAAACTGTTAAACACCAAATTTCAAAATTGGATTTGAGTTGGGAGTTTAAGAATATAGGTGTTTGAATATACATTTTTGTATGGGGCTTTGATTATACTCTAATTTACATTGGTTCTTAACTTTTTTTTTTTTTTTTAATTATTTAGTCCTTAACACTCTCCTCTTCTTTTTTCTTTTTTTTTTTTTTTTTTGTTTTTTGTCGAAAAATAACATTTATAAGCAGAAACAAAAGTTACAACGGATTACATAAAGGTCTAGCCCAATAAGTGATAGGACAAAAATAAAGGTAACCCTTATTCCTATTATTCAAAATGCATAGAACATCTGTTGGGGAGTGTAGAGGAAAGGGATGGGAAGGATGGAAGTTTGGGTTTGAAAAGGACGATGAGAAGATGAGAAGGGTGGAAAACTAAGACAATTAAGGCAACTAAAACTGACGATAAATGTCGGAAAAGCGGCGAAGAACGTCGAGAACACATGCCAACTCTTAAACCGGCAGTTGAAGGAGACGATTGAGGGCGGAGCCCGGAATGGTGAGAGTTGTTTAGAGACAAGGAGGGGGAGGAGGAGACGAGGCAGGGAATACACTCTTATGCGTGGTATTATTAGTTCTTCTCCATCACTTATGCAATATGAGAGGTAAATGGGTCAATTTAGGTCACATTTATATGAAATCACCACCATTGGTTGCATAAATTAGTGGGGTTAATTATATACTCCAAACTGAGCCTTAATCACTTAATATACTACAAATTTAGTCCTAACATTGAATTAAAAATCGATTAATATTCAATTAATATAGATAACAACTAAATCACAATCACTCAATTTTGTCAAATGGGCAAAAACTTTGACAAAAATGATGAGAAAAAGACTAAAATGTCATGTGTGATATATTAACTATTGAAAATTCGGATAACCAAATTCATGGACCAAAATGCAAAATAATTGAGAGACAACTGTTATAATTTAACATTTATTACATAGACGAGAAAGAAAGGTAGCTAGTGTGAGTAATCTGGGAGCGAATTAACTTTTACTTGATTTATCATGTGATGTAGTGCAATGATCGGAATCATCTATACTTTAGGTCGAACCAGACAGGCACTCTTCTTTTTTTATTGGAAACTTGTTTATTTGAACATTTTTTTAAAGAATTTTGAACATAATTAATACTTGTGGAATTTTTGCACTTAGTATATCTACTAATATTTCTCTCCACTTGTGAGTAAGAGTTATTCGGTTCGACTCCTATGGATGATGAGTTCATTATCTCTACTAATCTCTACTAATTAATAAAACACTCATTGTTAACCAAAACCCTATAAAATTACTAGTTTAACCCTCTAATTAAAACAAAATAGGAATAAAATATGGGGCAGAAATATAATTTCACATAACCAAATTTTGTTTTTTTTTCTTTTCAAAATCTCACCTACATGTCATCCTGACATATCTCTAATTAAAAAAATTAAAAAAAATAAAAAAAAATCTCACTCCCACATTCTCTATCACTTCCTTCCTCTCTCCTTCTATTTCAAAAACAAAAATAAAAAAAATTTCTCACACACTTTGTTTGTGCCCATATGCTAGTTAATTATTGTGCAGACACTTTGTGTGGCTAAACCCATTTTCCCAACTAGTAGTATAAATATATCATTGCAATAAAAAAAAAGGAAGTGTTATTGGCACTCCAAAAATCTCATTCTACACTCCTCACAAGTATATTTTTCTTTCCAAATATAGAAAGTTTGAAGTGTAGAATGAGATTTTTGGAGTGCCAATAACAATTCCCAAAAAATATATATAACTGTTTTTAATTTAAATTTATTTGAATGGTTTGAAACTCTTAAGGAAACCAAAGGGGTTGCTTCATCTTCTAGTTTTATCCCAAAGCATTAGAAGCCCATTTTTTCATGATCACAAGAAGGTTGTTGTGGAGATTTACGATGGAAGACTCATGAATTAACAACTAACAATCATTTTAATTGGCTTTTTACATGCCATTGATTCTTCACCTTAATTTATATGATTAATGGATAGCCATGGAAAATGTAACAAAAATTAAGATAATGCTTGTATCTCCTCTGTTATTCTATTTATGATTAATAGAATTTTTACTATCTGAACATCATAATCGGAACTCTTTTATTCTCTTTATCATTATCAAAAAATTGTTTCTGCAAAAAAATATTAAATTTAGAGATCTTTTAAGTTTTAAACATTCATATGCATAAAACAAATTGACGATCCATCATAGGGATACTACTTAATACCAAAACCATTGATTGGTTTAACATATATGAATGACTAAATGATTTTCAAATTGAATGATTTTTTTTTTTTACAGATATGATTTTTAGATGATAATAAAAAGAATGAACAGTTCTAATTATGATGTTCAGACTGTAAAAATTCGTTAATAGTAGGTAAAGGACAAATAATTCCGTCCTACAGAAGACACAAGCATTATCCTAAAATTAAGGTGGCTTCTTTTGGTTTTTTAACCAATATCACTTAAGCTGAGAATATCGGCAGCACATGGACGCATGTTGAGCACCCTCTTTCGGTTCCCATCACTGGCAAATCGGAAAAGATTACAAATCAATAGAAAACTAAAGTATCAAGTGCAACGTATATTCGAGTTAATATTTTCCTCTTTAATTTGTAGCATTTCTTTTTAATATATTCGCTTAAAGGGTCTCCACAAAAAAATTGCTATTTAATATTCATAATAATAATAATGTCAGGCTTAACTCATTCTCCTATTTTTTAACATAAATAATATCGTATGTCTTTAAAAAATATACTTTTATTGGCACTATTAAATCTCATTGCGCATTCCTTATAGCTATACATTTTTTCTTTCTAGATATAAAAATTTGGGCCACTTAATATTACGGTTTACTAGTATTCCTCTTCACTTACATGTGAAATGTTTTAGGATTGATTCTCGTCAAAAGAAAATTCAAATCTTTTTTTAATTTTTCTGCTAGCATATTATAAAGCTTAGCACACTTTCCCCCTCAGTGTAAATAATATCATATGCATTAAAAAAAACTTAAAAAATTGGAATGCACTATTATATATTTGGAGTGCTAATAACAACACTTTAATAAAATGATTTTCCAATTATATATATAATAATGCTATATATTCAAGTACAACTTTAATTTTAGAGTTTTTGAAGTTTTTTTTATTTGGTTGTTTAAGATTGAACGGTTTTTTAATTTTTAGTGAAGGGTATATTTGGAACTCTCTTTACTTATTATTTAATAGTATTTGTAAACTTATAATCAATGTGAATAGTTGTTTTGATTTAAGTTATTACTTTCTAGCTCAATACATTAACGTAATTTTATTTGGAAGACTATAGAGGCCCTTTTATTAACTTCGCACATCGCCCTCGAAATTTCAGAGATGGCTCTAGATATTATTTACACTAAGGAGTGAGGAGGTGGGCTAAACCTTACAATGAGTTAGTCATAATAGTTTTGTTTGAATTCTCCTTTGTCGATAATTGAATCTAAGACCTATCACTTACAAGTAAAGAGAAATACAATTATACCATAGTAATAAATGACATCTTTCACTTTTGAACTTAACATCGCTATTCCAATGATTTGATTTTTTTTAATTTATAAACTAAGATATAATGTATCAATGACCATTGGATTGTGGCACTCAATCACCTATTTGTTGGAAGAGGTTTAAAGTTCAAATGTCATCAATGACAGTTTCTCATTAATAAATATAGAAGAATGTTGATTCTAAAATTGTAATCTATTTTTTGTGCAAAGCAATTAGGGAAACGATAACAGACACGGTTTCTGTTTTTTATACACTCCCATTTAATTATTTCTATTGTTTCCATTTGATTTATTAAATTCAAAGATCAGAAATAAAGAGGAAAAGAAAATTTATGGTTGTTATTACAACTCTGCAATTGACATTTAG